CGCAAAAAAACCATCATACTATGCCAGAGGAGAAGACTCTGTCCTCAAGCTGACATGAGTGTACTTTTATCAATCTGTGTACTAGAAAATCTGGCGCCTTTCCTGTCCTGTCTGCCTGTGTTGTGGCATCAATAGGGCTAGTCAAGTGCTTCTGGCCAGCAAGTAGATAGTGACATTAATGGCAGAGAGCCACTTTAAGGGAAAGTTTGAAAATAACCTGGTAAAAGAAATTCCTCAGGAATGTGATTCCTCAGATGAAAGCAGCTCTGTGCATTCTTCCACAGAAATAATTTTTTTTCCAAAATTTATATAATCTCTGTTCTTTCAGTTTTCACTTTGGCATAGATTTCTAATCACAGCTCTGTATTCAACAGGTCTCTAACAATGTCTTCCAAAGACATACACAAAATATTTCCAGTGAGAAAAAGAAAGGAAAATAGTTTACAGAAATTAACGGTATCCATGAATGAAGAGAGTCATGAGAAACAATGATTCACCCAGCAAACAGATTCACCCAGAATTGTTAATCCTTCTCCTCGGATCCTCTTTCTTCTTATTTTTGAGAAGAGATGGTGTAAAAAGAGGACAATGCATTCAAGACATGAGTAGATGCAACTGAGCATACTCAGTTGTGCTGAAGAGTTGAAAGTCATTCTTCTGAGTTCTGAAGTGGCTACTTTGGGGCTGGTCTGTGTGAGAACAGAATTGATCTTCTGTATCTCCTGACAAGTTAGTACACTGTTTTTAGTAGGCAAACAGACTGACATATTCTATTTTCTTTTCCTCCTAGATGTAACAAGGCAGCATCCACTGATATGTCAATAAATATTATATTAAGGCATGTTTTCTTTATCTTATGTTAGGAAAGAGACAGAAGTATCAAATTGGGGTTTGGGATTTGATGCCCCATTGGTGCAAATTGCTGCTTATCCATCCATCTCAGTGTTCTTGGCAAAGACATTTGGCAGTAGCACTATTGAATTCACTGGAGCTGTGATTAACTTAGCTGATATCTGCCCTGGGAGACTAGGTCAGAATTGTCCTTGACACTGTGGCTCGTAGCTCCCTAAAGGACTTGAACAAACAATTTCATTTCCTTCGCCTCTATTTCCATACATTTAAATAGATCCTGATAACATGCATCACAATCACATGATTTGTCAGGCACAATTAAACCTGCTGGAGAGTATAGTTTTATACATCTATATAGATACGTGATAGTAGCATGAAAATGGGGTAAGACTTGTGAATAAAGGCCTGTTGTAAAAAAATCCAACAAAACCACCAAAGCAAGAGAGTAGTCCATATAAAAAAACAGTATCAGAAACTGAGCTCCTAGTTGTGAACCATCACCTCCATCTCTCCCTGCATGACATCTGCTAAATATCTGAGCTTGGAAATTCAAAGAAAGTTTGTAAAATAAATCTTGTATTTCCTAGGTAAGAATAGGTTCTTTCTTCAGTAACATTTAAGAAATTTTGTCAAGTTATGCAAAGTGTTGTGTAATATACATTTAATTTCTGTTGTATTACCCTTTTTTCTTTCTGACAGAAATGCATTTTAGATAAATATTTAATGCCTTTGCTTTTAAGAATCTATCTTTGAATCATTTCAGTCTGCTGCTGGCTTCAGGTTCCTGAGAGAGGAGGAGTTGCATGAGCTGAATACTAGTGTGCAGTTAGCTACCATGACTGGAAAGTGTAGTTTAGGAATACTGTCTCAGTGTAGCACAACCACACATTATCCTTTACAAATGAGCAGAAGACTGCAAAACCTATCAACTGAGAGCATCTACAGGATAAACTGCTGAGGAATGTGAGATGCCACTTGATTGTGTGGGCATCAAGGGGAAAAGTGGGAAAAACAGCATAGGCACAGAGTCCTTCTGAATGGAGACAGAGACCTCTGAGTCTTTAGCTGAATTGTAGCACACAGTATGATTTTTTTCTACAAAGTAATGCTTTTATTCATTCTTACTCTTTTTTTTAGCACCAAAGCAATAAAAATATTCATTCAACATATTGTGCTTTAAAAATATAATTCACAAAGATCAGCAGGCATGTTTTCATTCTGTTGTCCCTGATATTACTCATCACACCAGGCGGCTCATATATTTTTAAACTGTATTCTTTCTTCTATCAGATCTTATTTCTTTTCCGAGGTTGAAGTGTGAAGCTCAGTGGTTGATTGACCTTTTGTAGAACTGATTCATAAACTTGTGTTCTTAATCGGTTTAGTAAATGTCATCTGTTTTGTCTTGTAGGTGGCTCTTCACATAGCCTGCTTGGTTTTGAAAATCAGGCTAGTAGGGGAAGCAAATATATTTTTATATGAAGGTTAAATGGTAATGGATTGTAAACCAAAACAAACAAAACAAGGAATCTTCACCCCCACCTATCCCAGATAAACTTGGTATTTTTTTTTCTGGCTCAGAAATGAGCTAATTATTTAATTGCAAGTCATCCTGTTCACATAGAAAAGGTTTGACCAGTGAGATATTTTACAGCACCTTTTCTCTTTGACCTACTTTTCTCATTTCTAAACTGAATGATGTCATGGTTTCTCTGAGCAGCAGAAGCATAAGCTCTCAAAAAGATAGGTGAACTTTTCTGCCTGAAATTGGTATATTTTACCAATGTCCATTCGTATGTCTTCATACATCATGTAGTGCCAGCTTCTGTAGTCTTTGAGGTGACCTGCATATTACTCAGAAAGTTGCACATGAGTACTAATATAATGCCTATTTAAGGAAAAATATCCTAGTTTATCTTTAAACACTGTCACTTTGGCATTTAGACCAAAGCTGTATAGTAACTATATAGATATTAAAACATCTTAATTTAACACTGTAGCATCATGGTGTATATGCTTTTCGATAACACAACTGTTCTACTTTTTGGTTTTGCTGTTATTAAAAAAGTAAAAATATGCCAGATAAACTTGAAGACAAAAGGGGAACTTCTAGTTTAGCAGTGAGTAATTTCATGTTCAATTTTGTAACCCTAAAGCTTGAATCACTTTTCAGTCTTTATTTGAAGTGAATCATAGATTCACATAATCATTTAGGCTGAAAATAATCAAGGTCATCTAGTCCAACCATTAAGTCAGCACTGCAAATTCCACCATTAAGTGCCACATCTACATACCTTTTAAGTACCTTCAGGGATGGCAACTCCACCAATTCCCTGGGCAGCTCATTCCAGTGCTTGATAACCTTTTTAGTGAATAATTTTTTCATAATATTCAACCTAAACCTCCCCAGACATAACATGAGGCCATTTCCTCTTGTCCTACCACTTGTTACTTCGGAGAAGAGACCAACTCCCACCTGGCTACAGCCTCCTCTCAGGCAGCTGTAGAGAGTGATAAGGTCACCCCTGAGCCTCCTTTTCTCCAGGCTAAATAATTCCAGCTCCCTCAGCTGCTCCTCACTGGACTTGTGCTCCAGAGCCTTCATCAGCTCTGTTGCCCTTCTCTGGGTCCACTCCAGCACCTCAATGTCTTTCTTGTAGTGAGGGGCCCAGAACTGAGCACAGGATTTAAGTACTCAGCAGTGCCAAGCAGAGTAGGAGGATCACTGCCCTAATGCTGCTGGCCGCACTATTGCTGATACAGACCAGGATGCCGTTGGCCTTCTTGGCCACCTGTGTACCTGCTGGCACATGTTCAGCATGCTGTAGACAGTTCCTTTTCCAATAGCCAGCTTTCCAGCCACTCTTCCCCAAGCCTGTGGCATTGCATGGGCTTGTGACAGTAAGGCAGGACCCAGAACTTTGCCTCATTTAAGCTTGTGTTAGATCCATGAAATTCCATACATCAGCTATACATAAAGATTTTAAGTTAGTAGATGAAGTTTGAATTCCTAATACATTTTACTGTTCTCTAACTGTTTTTGTCTTCCAAGACTTCCCCCTGCAGAGCTCCAAGAACACATGCCCAAACAAAAACTGTTTCACAATTTTTTTTTATTTTTTTTTATTATTATTTTTTTTTTTTTTTTGCCCTCAGTGTAAAATGGCCAGCTAAAGTGCCTTGTTTCTTTTAGGCCTTAGCCAGCTACACCCATGGGGAAGCTTCTTGACTTTTTCAGAGATGTCTGTATAATATGCTTAAAGCTAAAGCATTGTACTCCTCAGATGTCAGTTATGAGTCTCTGTGGTTTCTTAAAATTAGATCCAAGACTGATTATTCTTTGAGAAACAAGTGGTGCCACAGAACAATAAAGATGTATTTGTTTGAAATGGATCTCATAATAAATTGTACCTGACCTTCTTGATCATTTGTTTCAAATGTATAAATATTTTCATGCTTTTTCTAGAATGTTTTTCTGTATAAGATATCACATTAGAAATTTATTGTGTAGGCCACCTTGGGTACACATAAGACTTCTGTTCCTGTATCACTTAAGGGTCTCCTTCAATATTGTTAGAACAAGCTTACCATGATTTATTTCTCATCCCTGTCTCTATATTTCTGGTGACTTCCTCCTTTTCCTTTCATCTTTGCTCATCCCATTTTAGATGATGTAACATCCTTACTGAGACTGCAGTAGCTGTTGCCATTCTCAGTAATTAAATGTAAAGGCAGGACTCCTAAAAAATTTACAAGATAAAGTGTTTTTTTTTTAATTTGCTGTAGACTTGTGCTTTTTTTCCTAGCTTGTGATGTGTTATACTCTGAAGGAGGTGATGTTTCTCCAGTGCAGGACAAACCCTTGCTAAGGCAAACCTTGATGAATCATGGGAAAGGTTGATGAGACAACACTCAACTAAGTTTGGCTGCTTTTACAGAGGTTCTGGTTTGTCATTGTACACTTACATTGCCACGGAAAGAATGATACTAGTAATCAAAGCAATGAAATGTATCAGCTCTGTGGTGTTACCAGCGCACCTTTGCTGGACTTCAGTCCACATAAAACACAGCTTAATTACATTGGACAGCATTTATTAATATTGGTGTTCATTTCCTAACTGTATGATTATCACTTTGGCCTGTTTCAGATAAGAAGACAAGGTGGAATACAATTACTGGTGGACCTGTTGGACCATCGAATGACGGAAGTCCACCGTAGTGCCTGTGGAGCCTTGAGAAACTTGGTATATGGGAAGGCAAATGACGACAACAAAATAGCTCTGAAAAACTGTGGTGGTATCCCAGCATTAGTACGATTACTCCGTAAGACTACAGATTTGGAAATCAGAGAACTGGTCACAGGTTTGAATTTTTCAGTATTTTTTGTTCAGACTCTCTGTCAGACTTGCAAGCACTGTTCTATGCTGCATGCCGCTTGTTCCATCAAGTAACTATTTCATTACCATCTTATTTGCCATAACAAAAAGCTTTCAAGCCCTTTGGATTTATGTAATGTATGAATGGCTTTCAATATCAGGCAGTTTACAGATGTAAGTATGGTTTATGCCTGTCGTTGCTGGTTCACTTTGTTCTTGGTTAGCCATGAGTGCTCTTGGCAGGAGGTGTGCTCCACACATGAATATGTTGTGGTGAGAATCCTCTGCTTTCTTGTCTGGTGTAGGGCTGGCCAGGCACGAGCCATATTTTATTGGATTTACTTAAAAACTTTTACTCATTGCTTTTTATATCTTATGTAGTAATGTGAGAGGGAGGATTTGTTCAGGGGTTTTCTGCCTTTCTCGGGGTTCTGATAGGAACATGGAAGACTTCTGGAGAGGTGAATGTCATCCTCTGTAGCTTTGTGTCTGAAATTTGATAGCATGCCGTGTGATGTATACACAGAGCATGCAGGTAGTGGTAGTTTATTTCTTTTATTGATGTAGTAGGATCTGGTCTTTTTAAATTGTGTGGATTTTTTTCCTTTCTGAAATTCAAGAGAGAGGGGAGGGGTGGTGTTATTCAGGAGTACAGGAATGCTGTCAAACAGGACTGGAGTTTTTTCTCACCTTGCCCTTAAGGTAGCATATTTAATATGTAAAACAAAAGTGAGGCAAAGGTTTTTTTAATTATTTTTCACTTTGTGATTTCATTCTATTTGGTGATTATTTAACATTATAAATCAAAAATATTTTCATTATCCTGTTTTCAATGCTGATATTTTCATTACAATTTTACAACTAAAGGATGTAAGAAAATTTCTCATTTCTGTCACAGAATTATGAGAATACACATTATCATCTATATTTCTGCAGAAATTACTTACCCTTGTATATCAGGTCTCATTTAGGATACAATTGATAAGATTAGCATCCTTTGGTTGGGTCCGGGTTTCTTCCTTGAGGGTGTTTGAATAAACTGCCTGGTGTTTATTAAATGTAGATTTTTTTATATTTAATTTTGTTTCTTAGTTACAACAGTTACCACCTCCTACTTATTAGTCAGCATTAATGGGGCAGAGATACAGGTAACATGAGCTTGGATCATGCCTCCTAGAGAGTGATAGAATTACTGACAGATCTAATAAAGTGTAACCACTGCTTCAGATTCAACATACTTGTTTGTCTCAGTATCCTGGCTCCAGGGAACATTTTGCCTATTTATTCTGAGTAGTGGTAAACTGCTACTAAACCTCAGCAGTGACTGTGGCATTTCCCATGCCATCTGTAGATGGAACGTGTAATGTCATTAGGTCATTTAAAGAAAATATACCAGGCTTGGGCTACAGTTTACGTTGGTTCCATTGCACAGTATGCTGTTAAATTTTCCCAAATTCCCACAGAAAGAAAGGATGTTTGTTTTCTAGTATGCCCTTAAAGTGTTACTACCAAGAGGAGTAGGTACTGACCATCAGTGGTAGGCAGTAACCCAGCTTTGCACAGGTAGATGTAGCACACAGGGATGGTGAGCATCAGGAGTTCTGGATGTGTATGAAAAGGGAGAAGACCAAGATGGTGACCCTGAAGAATGGAATCAAAGTCAGTGGTATTTCAAGATTTTATTTTTATTTATTCAAGATGTATTATTTTATTTATACTGAGCCTGGTTTTGCATCAGAGTTTTTTGTTTGTTTTTAACAGCCAGTACATTCCAGAAGGCCACTGCTTGCCCTTGTCATGTTTTGTGTCTCTCAGAATGCAGATCACTGGCCCTTGCTTTCAGATCCAAACATGTTTGTGGTAGTGTTCTGCAAAGCTCCCTTCCAAAGCAAGGCTCATAGCTGCAGCTCTCATCTTGCATCTCTTAGGAAACAGGCTAAAGTCATGCATCTGATTCAGTTCTCCTTTGCTTTTTTTTTGGTTAAGTCTTGTAGTGTGACAGCTATCCCAGCTGAATTTCTTCTTTCTGTCCTTTCTGGGGAATGAAAGGTAGCTCCTGCAGCATCTCCCTTGGTAATGAAAAGATTTGACTTAGTGGCAGGCACAAGGAAAAATAAAAAGTTCGTCATGCTTTCCATCAGTCTTCATGAGCTGAGGTGACAGGAAGGTAATTATTTCAGTAGGGGCTTCACAGCCTAGAGGAGATGCAGAGAAAATAATAACAAATGTGTGTTTTGGGAGTAAACATAATACTTTGAGCCTTTCCATCTCATGTTCATTGTGCATCCTGTCTATATAAAAGCTGCTCTTGTATGTTACTTTTAGAGAGGACACAAAGTTCATGCCTTAGGAATTCATACAGGTTCTGACATGGCTGCCTCTAAATAGTCATCCACATTTGTCCTCAGAGCACTTCTCTTAGGTGGGGGAGTATCATTAACTCTGTCATACAGATGGGGAACTGAGCCTATCCAGTGTAAATGACCTGTCCAGAAATCTGGCAAGATGAAGGTGTGAATCACTCTGAGTAGGCACTCAGCTGCAAGAGAAGAAATATGGCCTGGAGAGGTTATTTAGCTGCTCAATTTGTCTGGCAGTAGCGAAGCATTCATTGCCTGCCCCAAGTACTGTGAAGCACTGGCACAGCAGAGCAAAAGTTATGATATTAGTTTCTTCCTCAAACATGCCCATTCTCTTCCTTCCGTGTTGTTCTTCTCAAAGTAGATTATAACTTCAGTTTCTGGCAATCTCAAGACTGGTTTTGGAAGGGTATTGAAACTTCCAGATCAGCTTTCTAGCTCAGTAGCTCCTTGATGTCAGGATTGCCTTCAGCACCATTTGTGGCTTGTCCTCTTCTCCAGAGATTGCTTTCTGCAATAATCTCTCCAAAACAGAGTTTTTAAATTTTTTTCTTTTATCTTGTCTTTCTCCTCCTCCACAGCAGAGGACTTGGGCTAATACTGGAAAACCTTACCATGCTCAAATTTTTGGATTGCACAGACTTAACCTTATAGCAAACTGTTAGAACTTCAAGGCTCTCTCATGTCCAGGAAATGGTTTTAATGTAGGCTCCCATGAAGAAGCTCTGAGGGAAGTGTACTTGCCTGGCTGTTATGAAATGAGATGGTGTTAATGCCCAGGAAATATTTCCTAAGATATGGAAAGATTATTTTTACAGAAACACTTCCACAGTTACAGATTTTTACTAGAAAAACATGAATAAAATTAGGTATACCCATGAATATATATACATTTGTGTAAGAGTGAAATACTCTGATAGAAATAGAGATGTTGGCATGGCCTACAGCCTCTGGTAATTTTCAGAGACTCAAGAAGAACCTAAATCACAATCTAAGTCTGTAAGTCTGTTTATGTAGGTCTGTAAATGAAAAGAAATAGGTGTAACCTGAATGCACCACACTTAATCTAGCCATCTTTTTACCCCAGCACTGTGCAACCAGTTTCCATAGTAGCACCTGTTAATACGAAAAAATTAAAGCCTTCTATTTTAAAATAATTAAATGTTAACACTTTTCTAATAAATATAAACAGAGAGGAACACAGTACAAAATTAGCACAGATCCTGCAGATGGTAGAAAAAAATGTTTTCACTTGGTAATAATGACAATGAGTAACTGATTTCTAATTCTCTTGCCTTTACCAAGTTAATTATGAACTCTTCCACAAAATCCTCTTTTATATTTTTTTCTGTTTGTTTTACTGTCAGGGAAAAAAATACATGGAAAAATCTGACATTTTAGCAAGGCTAACAGAGGAATCCCATGGATGCCTTCTGCAGAAGGTGGGGTCAAGCAGCTGTTGCTAGATCCTTTCCAACTCAGGCCGTTCTATGATGCTGTGACTCAACCTATGCTTGCTCCTTTTTCCATCAGCTTGATTGGTTAACTGTGTCTGTCTCAGTTAAAATGGTTTAAACTGCTGTTTCTTCTCTTGTTTGACAAACAAGATCCACCACAGCTAGAAACAGTTTCTGCCTATGAATATGAGGTTCTGGACTAGAAAAAACTCCTTTTAAAAAGGCCCCTTTAATGACTGCATCACCTGTTTAAAATCCATAAATTCCATTTCACATTGAAAGGTAAAAGTGGATAATCCACTTTTAGAAAGTACATCAGGATAGAGCTGCAGCTATAAATAATGTCAGGAGGAGCTGTTTTTTCCTGTGCTAGCAACCAGTCTCCTGCTTATTTTGGTTGACAATAAAGTGTCAGAGATTTAACTTTTGTCTACTTAAAATATATAAATTATAAAAATTAGCACATTAAAAAAATTAAAAGCAGAAACTATCTGACAGTATACATATATACTAAATATAGATAGGTAGATAGTGACTCTGTGTATTTCATTCTCATTTTTATTCACTGAATCAAAAGGCATATATTCTATTCCTGCAAAATATTACAAGATGCTGTGTACAAAATGTTTCTTTCAAATAAGTACTCGTACTCCAAGTGTCTTTAGCCCACAGTCAAGTTGGACAGGGAAGAATCTCATTTACCTCCCAGACTTTGGATTCCAGTATTGATTAGTGTTGTCTTTAATTTCAGCTGTGGCCAGTTGTATTTTGGCTTGGTTAGTCCTCTGTTGTCAGCCCATGTTATGCAGTACATAGTCCTGTTTCAGTTTTAGTAGCTGCCATATGTTTATAAGGAGGTGTTTGTTACCTTATGGATACTCTCTCAGTGTCACTGAACACAATTACATGTTGTCCACCTTAGATTTATCTGGGCTGAGTTAAGCACTGCAGATGAATCCTCCTTTTGATTACATGCTGCTTCTTAGCATACACATAAATTATTGGCAGATTGGTCAAGTCACTCCAGAAGGCCCCTCTGAGCCCTGTATCTGCCTTTGCTAATCCGCGCAGTTTCAACATAGTGAGCCTCTAGTGATATGTAAAGCATGTTTAAGGGAATATTCTATTTAAATGGACTTTTTAGCTCACTTCAGTGGAAGATTTATTTT